TTTTATAAAGCCAGTGCTATCAAACTTTGCACATCAGCATTTCAGAGTTCGTGTTGCCGCAATAAGAGCTATAGGTGAGTTAAGAAGTTTAGTTTAAAAACAAATAAATTGTTCTATTCTTACTATATCAGCTGGAATGCCTAGTATATTTTAACTCAACATATAATAAAACATATAAGGGTTGTAATCATTTTCATCACATAAGTATAAATTTTCAGGTGCCATAGTAATAAGTGGTAATGCTAAATGTTTTGAATTATCGATAACTCCAATGGCAGAGAAACTCTTTGACGAGAACACTCAAGTTCGAATGCAAGTCACTCTGGAAGTTGGTAACTGGATGATGAAATATAAAGACAGATATTCTTTTTGGCATCGCATGATACCACTGATGCTTACCAGGTTATTATATTATTATTATTGATTTAATTAAATAACACTAATGTATTTATTCATGAAATCAAAAGTGCAGTCCTGAGTACAATCTAGTTTATTTGTCCCCAAATTTTATTCAATAAATTTTTATTTTACTATTATTATAAATATTATAAATGCGAATGTTTAGATGGATGGATGGATGTTTGTTACAAGGTATCTCCCATATGGCTTAATGGATCTTGGTGAAATTTAGCACAGATGTAGAGTATAATCTGGAAGAATGCATAGGCTTTTAATTAAAATACATATGTGTGTAATTGCGTGTGGACAGAGGTCCGGCTGACAACTAGTGTGATAAACGTTATACCAATTCCTCTAGTTTGAGTGATGTAATGGCTGACATAAGAACAACAGCAATAAAACTTTGGTCTGAAATCGGACTCCAATACTTGGAAGAGAATGAGGAAGATTTGAAAAAGAAACTGGACTTCCTTAAAGATGTACCGACACACTACCCTGATGTGAAGCGACCAAACTTTGGCTGCAGGTGTCTGGTACAGACTAATATTGGCAAAATTGTACCTGCTATTGGGAAAGGTTTGTTATTTTTATTATACAAAATGGCCAGTATTTTACTTTGTGTCTTTTGTTGGCCCATTGATGTGAAATACCATGACCCTATCTTTTTAGCTTTAAATGGCGGCTAAAAATTCTGGCACTGGCGAATATTATTTAAAAAAAAAGTTATGATTCCAAATTAAATTAAATTTTTTGTACAAGGCGCAGAGTGCCTTATGCACAGCGACATTATAATTCATTTTTTATGCGTCTTGAATATTTATTTTGTTTGATTTGAAATTGTAGACGTCACAAATATTCTTTGCAGAAATGGATGGATGGCAATCTGACGCTCGATTGCGGGTAGCACAGCTGTTGTGCTGGCTGGTGCTGTGTGCGGAGGAAGGCGCCACGCAGCACGCCAACGCCATCGTAAAGATTCTGATGCGGGGCGCTGCTGACGAGGATGCACGCGTTGTGCTTGAGGTAAGTACACTAGATAAGCCAATACATCTGGATCCTTCAGTCTGATTCGTTTATATTTTATGATGACTATTAATCCTTGATAATTTTGACGTATTTCATAAGTATAGATATTATGAAGAGCTTAATGCTGTTTAAAGTGCTTTCGTAATTCCAGCTGATGATCTATGCTAGGGTAAGTGGGGTAGCTACCAATATATGGTCTTATTCAAAGTAGTTTTATATCTATTTTACATTTTTAAATTCCCAGGAGAGCGAAGCGGCAACCCATCACTCCCCAGCCCTCCTAGTGGCGACCAAGATTATATTTATGCATTGTATTACTGCATGTCTTGTAGATAAAACGCGCTGCTGAGTTGTTCGGTTACTTCATAATGCCGGAGACTTGGTGGCCGCTGCTGGAGGCTGACGTGGACGGCTGGCCGGCGCTCACCGTCATCACCAACATCCTTAAGGGCTCTAAGCCCGAGCTAGTGAAGGGGAAAGTCATGAAGGAACTCTGCAAGGAGTTGGCTGATCCTGATAGATGTAGAGTTAGGAAGGTAAGGATATGTTTGGATTTATTCTTTACGAAAATAGTCTTATCCGTACTTATTATATAAATTCGAATGTGTGGATGGGTGGATGGATGGATGTTTGTTTGAAGGTATTTCCAGAACGGTTGAACTGATCCCGCTGAAATTTGGCATATATGTAGAACATAGAATGGAAAGACACTTAGGCTACTAATTAAGTTCTTTTTTTCCGCTAGTATTTAAAGAAATAATAAATTCTTAATTCATATTTGTGACTCAGCTGAATAGGATCTCTTTCAGAATGAAAACAGAAATTGTTTTTTCCAGCCTAAATACCAAAGTAATTTGGTGCACGTGACGGAAGCTCTAATGTCTTTATGTGGTCAGGACTGCGCCCCGGTCTATGAGGATCTCTTTATTATCAATTTTACAGTGTACGCCATGCCTTACGATGATAAGATGCAGTTTCTGGCTCTGTGTAAGTATTTGGTATTTGAAGCTTGAAGTTTTGTAAATGAATTATAGTTAAAAATATGTTTTTTTTATAGCAAATCTAGATAAACTGCGTCAACTAGAGGATTGTGGTCGGACATTGACCACTTTATATGACAAACACATTCGTCGTATTCTGGTTGATATCACAAGTGATGCACTCACTTGGACGCTGCTGACCCCAGATCGCTGCCTGCTTGAATGTGTGCTGCTTAACGCGGGTAAGAGGCACTATGTAGCCGTGAGGTTTCACTATAGAAAAAATCCGTAGAAAAAACGTAATTTGGATACAATCCAAGGATAACTATGATATTGTATAGATTTATCTAATATCTATCCTTCTTTAACTAACAAATACATGAAATTTTAACATTTATATGACAATAATTTAGTATTTTACGTTAAAATGAAAGAGGATATTTCCCCTTCCTTTGCATCCCCTCCTCCAGATTTAAGACATTGAATCCAAAAATGGATATGTATCTGCGTTACCCAGGCTATGCAATGGGCAGTCAATTGCACCTCCTGGCGCCGTTGCTGCGGGAGTGCCTCGCCACGCCGCAGGTAGACCCCGAGGTGAAGCTGAAGGTGTTCACAGCACTCTCCACGGTGTTGCTGCGCAGACAGACTAACTTTAGTAAATGTGACACTGACAAGTTGGAGTCTTTTCTCAAGATTGTTATTGAAGGTATGTCTGACAAGAAAAACTATAAATCAGTCAATCGTAATAGGACGCCTAAAGTCATTTTACCTTTTGTATGTATCTGGATGTTGAGTTGAATCTATGTTTTTACGACGGAGCCTAATCTTTGTTTTTTGTTATTATAGAGATAATAGTGCCGAATTTAGTGTGGGCTCCGGGGAGAACAGCGGAGGCGATCCGTACTGCGGCGGCCGCCTGTCTCTGCTCCGCGCTACAAGACGACCCTCAGACATGCCTTGACGACAAGGGCGCTGACGGGGATGCTAACGATAAGGTGACTTTAAGTTTAATTGCTTCGGAAAAATAGAAAACTTAAATGTTAGGCCACAAACATGCTTTCATAATATTTAAAGGAACTTTCCTTTGCATTATATTGCAGTGCTAACGCTGGTAAGAGAAAATAAATATGAAAAATTAGTTTTTCTTATAATAAATATAATAATGTATGTTTATACATTATTCGTATTTTCATTGTAGAAGGTAAACTTATTCCCGAGCAAAGAATGTCTGGAGCCGCTACTGGAGCGCGTGGTGCCGCTAGTGTGCGCTGCGGCGGACGACAACAGCGCCCTCACCCGCCAGCACGCACTGCGCGCCGCCGCATGTCTCGCCACACTCGCCGCCACACGGGGATGCTTCACGTCTGAACTGCTGCATAAGATGTACTTTGGTTAGTATTGATTTTTCTGGATATTTTCAATTAATATAATATCATAAATATATAAGAAAATAATGGGAGAATATTAGTGAAATTATACGTTTTAGCGATCAAAATTGAATTGCGTTTTTATTCTGTTTTTAATTCTTCTTTACTATATTAATGTTTATTATATCGAATAGTTATTTGTCAAAGTAAACTTGGCAATTATGTATTTCATAGAAAAAAATTAACCGCCGAAAATAAAGATTCATACATTTTTAAGACACTTTAATGGATGGATGTTTTTCTTAATTTACCAGTGGTGTTGAAGCGTTTGGACGACAGTAGCGACAAGGTGCGTTCGTTCGCAGTGCGCACGGTGCGTACGCTGTTCTCACAGCGGCCACGCCCATACGACACGGTCGTGTTCGGGGCGCATGTCGACGCCCTCTACAGCGCCATGCTCATACATCTCGATGATCCTGATGAGGAATTCCGTAAAGAAATGCTCGGTATGATGTTCCACTGCCGAACAAAATATAAAAAAAAGATTGCTGTCTATGATAATCTTTAAAACAATGTTTCACTTGTTTCAGCTGCTCTTATCGCTCTTAGCGACGTCGATCCTCATCTTCTTATCAAGAAAGTGAAGGCAAATATACATCTGTATAGAAACAAGGCCGCCTATGAGAGCCTTTCTAGTAATATTGAGAATATGTTGAAATAGGTTTTCTGTTAGTTTATTTTTAAATTTAATTAATAAAGAGAATGTTATGTTGATTTAATATATTGTTTTTATTTAAATTATAAGTACCTTTAATTATATCTACTATCTATTACTACTACTACTATCTCGGTATACCAATAACCAGGGGGTGGAAACTTAGAAGAAGGACGATTTGTATGGAAAGTGGCGCCATCTTATCTATAGTATACTTATTATACTCTTTGCCAATAACGTAGTATTATTCACTTATCTCCGGTAACTTGTAACGTATAATTTTATACCAAGTAAAAATCCATCCTGGTTAACAGAAGGTCTTATCTTTACTACATTTTTGATAAATCCTTGCAAATATCCCTAATTTTATTCAAGCTACCAAAGGAACTTGTATAAAATTGTTAAAGTTAAGAATTAAGAAAATGATTGTTGTAATTTAGTATTTTTGAGTGTGGCAACAAATCACATTGAAAACAAAGGGGTATTTGCGGCCGTACCTGGCCGTACTAATCGATAAATGTCAAATGTGAATTGTCAAAAACTGCACAGTATGCCGCGCTTGTAAAATAACATTATTGTATTTGTTTTCATAATAAGCTATTGAAATAACAATATAGTGTTATATATTTTTGTCAATGTTAATATTTAATTATCAAAACTGAAGAATGGAGGTGACCCGAAAGAGTGAGTCTCAATCCCTTATATTGCTGTAATTATTGATCGCTGCATCCAAGACTACTATTGCTTTTTTTTTACAGATTTTAGGGAATGTCTCCCCTTAATTGAAGAATCGATAAAGAAAGCTGATTTTTTAGTGATCGATGCAGAGTTTACGGGTATTATCCATGGCCGGGACGTTACTATGTTCGATTCCCCTCAAGAGTACTATGCTACTTTGTTAAAGGGGAGTACGGAATTTTTGCTTATCCAATATGGATTGTGCGCTTTTTATTGGAATGAAACTAAGAAGTATTATATGAACGATGCATATAATTTCTATTTGTTTCCACGGGGACGCCCTGGACCTGAGAAAGTATTCCTTTGTCAGAGTTCCAGTTTAGATTTTCTATCATCTCAAGGATTTGACTTCAATAAACTGATAAAAGAAGGTAATATATTCAAGTATCAATCAACAATAAGGAGGCTCACATTCACAGATAAAATCATATTTGCTGTTTTCATTATGAAAATTTAAAAAAATTGAAATTTTAAGCGTAAGTTTGTGTTCCACTTTTGTAATGTTAATTTTTTTAATAATCTTAGGTATATCCTATATGACTGAGCCCATGGAGACTCGCTTACGTGAAAATCTAACGGAGCGTCAAAAATCTTATGTGACCGGAAATAATAATATTCCCATACCAGATGAAAATAAACAACAAATTGAAGACATATGGTAAGTGGAATAAATGTAACTTCATTTTACTTCATGTACTATGTTACAAAAAAAATTCCAGAGGAAAGTGTTTTGAACATTTATCTGAAATTCTTGCTGTCTTTACAGCATTTACTGTACATATTACATTACTTTTAATGTAACCTGTAAACGCTGGAAGGATATTCAAAGATATATTATATTATATTTTACATTTATACTCATTGTAAGCGAAACTTTGTGTTTTTTATGAGTAAATAAAGATCTTTAAACCGAAGATGCATTTGAAGTTGTACAATCATTAGGCCAGTATGAAGTAAAGTCTAGTTACCCCTAACATAGAATAAGCATGACCGGAGACTTTGGTGGAGTTGTATAAGCTAACATATTGTCTTCAGTAAAAGGGTTCGTGTCTTCCTTGATGAGAAGAAGGCTGATTCCATGGAGATAGAACGGTGCAATGCTTTCATCAGACGGCTGCTCTTCCAAGAGCTGGGCAGTCGATTCAAGAAAGAAGCCTTTCTTGAGACAAAAATAGTGGACAACAGAGCTAGGTACTATACTATGTAATATAGTATCATCATCATCAGCTCACTATACGTCCCCACCGAGGGGCTTGGAGCCTACCCTAAGTTAAGGGTAATATAGTATATAATACATAAATTAAAAAAACGAACCAATGCTTGTAATTTTATTAATATAAATCATTTATTTCTGAAGTGATATAGTTTGTAACCCATTTAAAGGAAATTGTGTGGATTAACATGAAATTTGAAACAGAATGTTATGAAGTGTTTATTATAATATAAATAAAAAATCTTTGACAAATTATGGCCGAGAATCGACCAGTAGTCACCAATGCTAAATATAATTACGAAATTTATACAAGTATGTGAAATACATACATATCACTCTGAATATAATACAGTGCTAGTTTTTAGGTAAAGATATTCTTGAGCTGATTAGGAATAAAATGTGATTTTAATACAGGGTCCTCAGGGTGTCCCGACTGAAATCAGAAGCTGAGGGCCTGAGTAAAGATACGGAAAAGAAGGAGAAAGAGTGGGAAGAAGTGGAAGAGGCAGTTGGCTTCTCCAAAGTAGCTCGAATGATCAGCCAATCGGTGAGTTATACAAATTTCATAATGCTAGCAATACAATGTATTTATAGACTAAACTGGCAGTCGCCTGTGACTCCTTCCGCACGAAATAAAGAATAAAACTTGTTCTTCCAGACTATGTTCAACATCTACTTCAAATATCACCAACACCCATTCAGCCATTTTAGAGATACCTTCTGACAAACATCCATCCATCCATCCAAGCATTGCATTTATAATAGTAAGATAGTTAATGCATTTCTAATACTTTGTCTTCTTAAAATATGTAGAAAATATATTCAGGCATAGAAAATTACGTACAAGACAAGACAGCTATAGTATATGAAAGTAATATTTAGTTATTTTATGTTTTAGCAAAAGTTGGTGATTGGTCACAACATGCTGTTGGATGTTATTCACACCCTAAACCATTTCTTTCAACCGCTGCCGTCTGAATACCCAGAGTTCAAGGAGTTCGCGCATTGTATATTTCCCAGGTGAGTTAAGTTATAACTATTTTCATTATCTTTGTAAGGTTCTATCTTGTTTATTTTCTATCCCCATGAGTTTACTATGGAAAAAAAAAATTCTATGGTTTTTATAAAGAAAATTAGAGGGATACTTCTGTCTATGTAATATTATAAGAGCAAATGCTTAGTGCTTACTATGTATGGATGGATGGATCATTTGCTTACTTCATTATTAGGTTTTATTATAAAGTGGCTTGCTTAATCTTCTTATATGTATAAAATTCTTGTGTCACAATTTTCTTTCCCATACTCCTCCGAAACTGATTGACCGATTCTTATGAAATTTTGTGAGCATATTGAGTAGGTCTGAGAATCGGCTACTATCTATTTTTTAATCCCGTGCAGACGGAGTCGTGGGCGACAGCTAGTATATAATAATAATTATAAATTTTATTTTGTCACAGGTTACTGGATACAAAGTACATGTCTAGCCTGCCACCGTTCAAAGACAAGGTGAACTCTAGTGTGCTGGAGCATTTGCTGGCAACATTATCTGAACCTCCGTTCTCGCTTCCTAAAGCTGGTAAGAAAAATATACTTTTTTTAATTTTAGCTTTTCACTTTTATGTGGCTGAGCTTGGATATATCTGTGTGGCTTCCTAACAGTAAAAGAATTTTTCAAAACAGTTCAATAATAATTCTATAATAATTTTTAGTCATCATAAAGAACCTGTCCTTATTCCTATTGAGGGTCGGCACAGTATGTACTACTCCTCCATACATCTCTATCAACCGTCATATCTCAATTCACTCCCTTACGCATCCTCTTTCACAAAATCCATCCATACATTCTTTTGTCCATAATAATTCTTAGTAAAATAGGTAAACAGTACAACAGTTGTCCGATGTAATCAAGTTGGTCACCCCTGGTTCACAATATTTACAGAATCAGTGGAAGGTCGCGGCTACCGTCGCGCTGACGACAAGCTGCACGAGGCTGGTTTTGACGCTTACGTGACTGGGCTGTGCTTCCTCGCGATGCACCAGCACCTGGCGCGCATGCGAGGCGACCGTCCGCAACGCATGCCCGACCCCGACTGCGCAGCGCTCAAACCTTTCCTCAATAAGCTGTTCCTCGCTAAGACAGCGTATCAAGATTCCCCCTATATGAATCTTACTGGACCTGATCGTAAGTTTAAATTAAAAAAAAACCTCAGTCTTTAAAAAGTAAAGATTGAATTTGACTTTTCTGTAGTTATAAAAAAAAAATCTTTTATCTTTGGTTTTTAAGGTCTATAGTAGAATTCAATAAAAATAGGAAATTATAATTAACTAAAGAATTTTACTTTTATAAGACTTTCTTTTTCAAACAAGTTAGTCTTTAATAAGACTGTAATTACAGGCCTATAAAGACTGACTTGTTTGTATCAAATTCATAGTCAAAGCCATCCATTGAAATGTATAAAAATAACTAGCTGTCGCCCGCGACTACGTCTGCGCGGAATTGAAAAAACTTAGTAGTCTATGAGTTTTTCTAGGCTATGTTCTACATCTGTTGACCCGCTCTGCAGATATCTCTATCCTTCCATCCAAAAATTTGCATTTATATAAGTAAGATTTCTCTTTTCCTTTCCAGCGACACCGTCAAGGGATCACGTGTATTATATAACTTTCCCCAAAGATTGGCAGAGGAGTGATATCAGCCAGATATTCAGTTCCCTCGGTAAGTTATCACTTTTACAAATGAAAAAAAAATAATTTAAATTTTCTAGTTAAATTTTAATATTAGCTTCATATTAAATTAAACTCCAAGGAAGGTGGCATGTTATTATTGTAAATGTCATAATTTTGTTCAAATTGTAGGATAAGAAGAGTGAAGTATTATATACAAAGTGTTGAATATCGCCCGTAAATCCGTGTGTGCGGTATTAAAAAAAACTTATTTGGTATGTATTTTACCATCTATGTTCTACATCTATGACAAATTCTAGCGAGACCCATATATACAGCCATTTTGGAGATACTTTCTGACAAACATCCATCCATACATCCATACAAGCTTTATTAGGATTTTTTCTCACTGTCTTCAATAAGTAATGATGCAGATGCGTTGTTTAATTTAACAAGTATAGTTTTACTGTGAACAGTATTTTGTGAACTGTAACGTGATGAGCATGGGAGGTTAATGTTGCTGGTGGCATCAGGTCCTGTGACGGTGCAGTTCCTGGACGAGACTTCCGCACTGGTGGCACTGATGCGGCGAGACCAGGTTCACTTCGTACCTAGCGTCTTCACGGAGAACAACCGCGTATCATTTATGCCTTTTGCAGCTTACAAGGCTAACGGACCTCGGGTGAGAACTCATTTTATTACCAACTAGCTGTCGCCCACGACGCCGGCCGCTTGGAATGAAAAAAAAACTTATTTAGTTTCCGGCAATTATTCGTATTTTTCTCACGTTTTAAACATTTCAAGAAAAAGATAAGATAAATCCGTTCAGCCGTTCTCTAGTTTTAGCGTGACTAACGAACAGCAATTTTTTTTTATATATATAAATAAAGGTATTAATTTCCTCTGCAAATTAAAAATGGGTCTATGTGTTAATCGAGATTTTATATGGGTGTGTCAAATTTCAATAAAATGTGTTGAACTGTTGCGAAGATATCAATAAGTAAATCAAACATAGTCCACGGTAACTACACATTTCCAGAATTACATAGCAAATGTGTGCTTCCAGATTTTGTTCTACATCTATACTGAATTTCATGAAATCCATGCAACAGTTCTGGAGATACGTACAATCATCCATCCATCTAAATTATTACATATAATATTAGTAAGATTTTTATAATCAACTGAGCTCAAAGCTTGTGTTACTTTTAATGCCGCCCTCTCGTTCCCCCAACATGGTGTGGGACAGGGACTTGGGCCGAGGGTAAGTTTGTATTATTTAACTACGACAATATATCCTACTATATAAAGGGTTAATATGACCAAATGATCATCATCAGCCCACTATATGTCCCCATTAAGAGACTTGGAGCCCATAGTCAACACTGGCCTAGTCCGGGTTGACTACACACATATTGAATTTCTTCTCACGATGTTTACCTTCATCGTAAGAAATTCTATCATAGATAAATAACTATAAGCTGTTTAGTATTATTTAAATCGTGATTTTAATTTTTTTTTGTTTATTTATTAGGCGCCAGGCCAAGTGATGGAGCGTCCCCGTCAGCCGATGACGACTGTGTGCGTAAACATGTTTCGAAACTTGTTGCTTAAGTCTAATATCTTTTTATATTTTATTATTGTGTGTGTTTGCTGGCTGGCTAACTTTTATTTTCTACCATATTATTGTTCAATTGCATAGCATTTATAAAATACTAAAATTAATATTGAATTTTCGCTTTATTGGTTTTTAAAATTAATAAAAATTAGCAGTCTGGTTAATGCATTATACAGCGTGTTACAAAATTCAACGATAAAATTGTATTGGTGTATAGCCAGATTGATAATTACGAATATACGAGTAAAAATACTAAAAAAATCCAACTCTTTTGTAACTTTTCTTTTAAGTTGATACTTTTGATGAATTTTGGGACATGCTGTATATGCTTGTAATGCTTTTTTATATGCTTGTATGCGCAAATCTTTTTGAGCTAATATAATTTTATTATAACGCAACAAATAGCTTACTGCAATAGTTATGCTTAAGTTTTTCTATTTGCGACAGTTTGAAAAGATTTGTGACAGATTATAACTATTCAGAATGCTTCTTCTAGTAAATAAGAAATATGCATCTTGCTATCTTTTTTTTTTAGGATTTTTTGACGCAAACTCATTTAGAACAGCCAAAAAACGAATGCATTTATGATAGTGATATTTTTTTAATTATTTTAAAGTTCTCTTAAATGGCTGAAATATTAGCCAGTGTTTTTATTTAATTTATTCGACTGATATAATTGTGTTTTTCTAATTTTTTGAAAGTTTTTTTTTTATTACGCTACTTGTATTTTTTGTATGTGTTTGAGAATGTTGATTTGTAAGCATGGCTTTTTGACACAATGAAAAATCTCAAAATTTTAGCAAATTTAGGAAAAAAAAAATTTTAACAGCAACAAATATAGATTAGGTTTTAATGTAAGGTTTCCTAATACTACTTACTTACTAATTATATATTTATACACGATTATTTTTAATGCATTTGCATTTTCCAATATTATGAAGACATTTTAAAAAATATTTTTTTTATGATTAACATTAAAAAAAAGAAACATAGTTAAATCAAAAATATACAAAACAAATGAGAGAATATCCGATTTAATTACGCCATACCAATTCCTATGATTGGTACAAAATAGGACAGGACAACCTTTTTAGAAGGTCATAGACATCGTCTTTGGGTTACGTAATTTTTTTTACTATCAAAATATTTATTACCGAATTAATAAATATATTGAGAATAGAATTATGGTTTACTCGGGTTATAGGTCGTGATGATACATGTTGTTTGTTGACTTTTTCTATAAATAAACACATATAAGCTGAGGCTATTTAATACGTAAGACATATAAAACGCTTTTAAGAGTTTTTGCGACTATGCGATATCATATTTAGGAATATTAAAATATATTTTTAAGTCTTTTCGAATATAATTAAGCTTAGCTTTTTATAGCACAAATTATTTTAAGGTAAGGCTTTCTTGTTATGCTATTATTTTGTAGGAACGTACTCAAAGATATACAACCATGTAGACAGGACAACGTACCAAACCGAAGTATTGAACCACGTTACCATGGTAACGAGTTTTGTTTGACCCGCCATTTTGTCATGTGGGATTTGCTATTGATTTTGTCTAACTGAATTTTAATTGTCTTAATTCTTTTTAAAGAGAGGGATAATAGTAATTTTGTTATTCAGATGGTTGTGTTAGAAATTCACTTTAACGTCCGCTCTATAAATGATTTTTTGAATATCTTTGAATGTACGTTATTGACGTTTTCACTGCCGTGGTACTTGTATTGACATGTTGTCTCTGTTTGTTCTAAGAGAATGTAAGAGATGGCAACATATGTGAATAAAAGTGTCATAGCAGTGGAAACGGTTAGGAGTTTATTGTGAACATGTGACTCTAACGATTCTTTACTGTGGAGTCGGATCTCAATTGTGTTTTGAATAAATATTAATTTTAATGTTTTGTTTTATTTATTTAATCTACCCTCCATAGTGATTGTAACCGTTCGAGTCATATTGTTTGTTTAACGTTTAGGAAACTTAATTGATGATAAAATGTTTGAGGTTTAGGATTATTTAGTTCATTTAATTGAAATTTAACTGTCTTTTAATGTTTATTAAGCAAAAGGTTAAAATCCTTGAATTTTCGCACGTACGATGATGCCTCTTAAGTAAAATTAAATGTAATCGGATAAAATATAGCGAAGTATATAGGGCGATACTCTCATAACTATATTTTTTATCAAAATATTAGCAGATTTTTTTCTAAATTAACTTGTATATTAACTTTAAATTAACTTATTATATCTTTTACCACTACAACTAAGCTCTAGGCTAGTGCTAGGATGTGGTTCACGACAATAGTTGAATGGCGAGATTCGAACTCCCGACCTCGTGATCGGAAATCCGTACCCTTAACCATTAGGCTATTGACGCTTAATATTAAGTAAATTAATAAGTATTTCATGAAATTAAAATCATATTTTATTATGCTATAATAAGTGTAATAACTTTTTATTTTTATAGCGTAATGGTATTTTTTCAAAATGTCATATATCAAAAGTTATAATATTAAGTGATAAACTCTACGGTATACGGTGTGTAAATGTAGTTTTGGGTTACACTTTGGGTTAAGTAATCGTACGTTTAGGATTTTAAACCTATTCATCGCTATTTCTTTATGCTCCTGAAGCTTAAACATAGTAACGTTTATTCATAATTGCTATGCAAAATACGTAGGCGTTTTCGTAACAGAAAGAGGCTAAAACTAAAAGTGTATTTTGGCTACTTTTTAAGGCATTTTACCGCCTATAAAAATGACAAGATCGGTGATCGTACGGTGTTATTTAGGTTCGGTCATAAAGATCTACTTAAGTATTTATAATACCTTCTTAACTATGCAACTTCCTTTTGCATATAACATTTTTTTAAAATGTACCATGCATTTGTGACTTTTCACATTGACATTGCGTTTATCAGCAGTTGTTTGCTTATTTGAGGTTTGTGAACGATTTATACGTACCAAAACTTCTACGTATGAATACGCAATATAAGTAAATATTGAAATTGATTATCAAATATTTTCAACCATCAACCAAGTACACATTTTACCTAATAACTTTTAAATCTTAAAATATTTTCGATAAAATATCATTTCTCACATAATAATACATTACTTAACCATACTATAAATCCATACAACCTATATATCTTTTTACTTTATCTCATGTGTTTAAAATATTGATACAGTGTAATGGCGGCCATGTATGGGATTTGACGTTTCTCTGTTTACGTAATTTAGGCGTACAATTGGAATGAGATAGAAAATAACGCACAAAAATTGTCGTTGGTCTAGCGGTGGTCAGTGTTGCATGTAATGAATGTCTAAATGTTTAGTTAAATTAGTATTTTGGTCACTTTAGAATAATGGTATTGTTGTCTTTCCTTCTTGTATTGTGATACGCTACTTGAGGCAGCATAGTAAAAAATTTAAAAATATTAAAGGGGATTTAATAACGTCTACACAACTCTAGTACTTTTACTTCTGCATACTTGAAAGCGAATCAGTAACGAAGCGGAATAAAGTTTGAAACTTTGTCATGTTATAGTACGAGAGAAGATCGGAATGCTATCGGACTAACCGCGGGTTTCTTAGACCAAAATCTCCGTTTATAACATACTGTTATATCTGTTTTGTCAAAGATGAAAGGGATGGCGATATGTTTTATACAGATATTTCGGTCTCAGAAACTAACGGTTACTCAGTCTCATTTTCGCTTCGTTTTCGTCTGTCGTGCCGTGTTTCGTCTTCGCTTCGATTCCGGTTCGCTTTCGTGGTTGTGCGGTCCATGTGTAAAGAAAGTATAGCAATCATTGTCTCGAGATTCATGAATCGTCCCCAAGAAAATTGGCTGAATACTTAAGAAATCATTGCTATCTCCAGTAGCGCTGCTCAGGAGGCATAATGGCATAAATTGTGTATTTCATGGTTTTATTTAATGTCCAAAATATGATTAGGAAACGCATATGATATCGTAGCTCGAGAACACCACTGTACTAACACTTTTATTAACGTATTGTCGTCCCTTATATTTTCTTTAGAAAAACAGGGACAACAATATTTATTAATACGAGTGACACACAGTCGAAGCCCGCTTTAAGATTCGAGCGAGTAAAATGTCTACACGGTTCTCATGGCCCCTAACAGTTTTGTTTGAGTATTGTAATAAGTTACTCGTACAGCTGTATTGAACATATGTGTTTCTTTTATTGACATGAAAAAGATGAAGAAAATATGAGATACATTGTTGCTTTTGTCGTCGGCTTTTGCTATGAGAGTGCCGTCTTTCAGATATCGCACGACGTCCGTTAATTCGTTGGTTCCCCGTGGCTTCTGGCCTCATATGCGTCCTCTTCCGCCATGTGGCTTTCAACCTATGATGCCGCGTTCTCCGTGGATACCTTGAGGAAGTAAGTCAAGGAATCACTTGGAACTATAAGTAAAACAATTTATATTTCAACTATTTATGTGGAGGTGTGATTATTACCAAGACTTTACTCATTTAAAACCCAGGATGTTCGACAATCAATTCAATGTATTCAGAAATTTGAAGGCTAAGTATCTGAAGAAGTCCGGCTCGAGGGACCAAACTCATATTAAATGTTTTTCAAAATGCAGAAAGGTATTAGAGATACATGAGATTATTGTTGTATGAATTTAAGACGTAAATATAAATTGTACGTGCTTTCTAACTTAGTTAATAATGCGGGGTAAATAATTGAAGTGTTTCCTTGCATTACGGAGAGTTTCACCGGGATTCTAGTCTAAGCGAGCAGTGCCATTGTAAACTGCGATTTAGCGGATCGTGAGAGAATACGGCTAGGGTGACCACGTTGTGGATGCAAGTTATGGTTCTATTTTATTTTTCAACTTATTGACTTAATAATTCATGGATTTTAATCGCAAAGATTTTAGGTATTTATTTTAAAGTATTTATAAACGTAACTTTTTGGAA